ATATTAACCAGTACAAAAATAGTAAAAAGGTGTATAATAATATTATTTAGAGACGATTTATTGAGTCGAACGGTCGAACCTCATTTTTTTTATATAACAACATTCTTAAACGTTTCATTACGCTTGAACGTGATGTCATTCCTATTTAATTAAAGTAATTATTATTTTAAACATGAGTATAAAATTGAGGTAAAGGTTTTTTAGTTACAAATATTAAAATGTTTTGCAATTTACCCTTTCGAATAAAATTATTTTAAACAGCAAAATTTTAGTAAAGTAGAGTAAAGTATGTAGCGTGAAAGAGTAAAGTAACGTAACGTTTCCACCTTGTCAAAACGGAACGTAAAAGTTGTCTTCTATCGTCAACGTGAACAAGTGGTGTATTTCATCATTATTTTAGTTATTTTCTAAAATTCATAAATAAATAACTAATAAAACACACACAAGGTAGTAAAATAAGCCTATTGAGGGTGCTATATTGATAGAATGTAGAGAAAATTGTATGGTATAGGTTATGAATTGTAAAATTATTTCAGATGCCTCTTTCGTGTCGATTTTACCAAGAAAAGTATCCGGAGGTGGAAGATGTGGTTATGGTGAACGTGAGGAGTATCGCGGAGATGGGCGCGTACGTCCACCTGCTGGAATACAACAACATTGAAGGCATGATCTTGTTGTCCGAGTTGTCGAGGCGTCGTATCAGATCCATCAACAAATTGATCAGAGTTGGCAAGACTGAGCCTGTCGTTGTCATCAGAGTCGACAAAGAAAAGGGTTAGTTCGTCAAAATCTATCATATCTTATCACTATTAGTTAGGTGAAAAGTTGCATACAACTTTGTTCAACTAGGTGTTAGTGATGTTAAAGTAACCCCGCTACTTAAGTAGCTCAATTTCCACCCCTAAGGGCACTCATTACTCACTGGGAGAATATTGGTATATTTAATGTGCTATATAGATTTATTCTTATCACAATAATATTTATGTTAGTGTTAACCAAAACAATTAATTAACATTATTTTCTCCATTCCCAGGATACATAGATTTGTCAAAACGTCGTGTCTCCGCAGAAGACATAGACAAATGTACAGAGAGGTATGCTAAAGCGAAAGCAGTGAACTCTATCCTGCGTCATGTTGCTGAACTCCTTCATTATGAGAGCTCGGAACAGTTGGAGGAGCTGTACAAGAGGACAGCTTGGCTCTTTGAGGAGAAGTACAAGAAGAAAGCCTCTGCTTACGATTTTTTCAAACAGGCTGCCGTGTATGTATAGACTTTTCTATGAATATGTCCTTTTTTACAAAATGAAAATAATTCATTAATTATTATGTTTTTTGCCATACTCATATATTCACTCATAATTATTTGACAATTGATGTGAGTAGTTTCAAGCCATACTAGAGGCTCATATTCATGAGCAGTATTCTGCGACCTAAAACATAATAATTAATTTAGTATGTCTCACAAAATTATTATATAAAAAAATTATAAGGACATCATTATTTAGGCCTTTCTTGATAGTCTGAAGAATTGTAATAAAAAAAATTACTACGAAATCTTTTCGCAATATCATCACAATTGACTCAGATTCATTATTCTAACAATATCGAAGATTATTTTGCATTTTCTAGCACCTTCAGAAAGCAATAAATGTATGAAAATTATGGATCTGGTACAACTTCTTTATCTTGGACTTTTACAACTTTTACAACTGATACAACTGATGTGGACTTTGTTTTAGTAACTGTGTAATTTGAACTCATATTGAGTTTTGTCTTTGAAACTAACCCAATGAATGTGATTACTTAGCTAAGCAATATAAAGAACACAGTCTAAGTAGGTCAGTACGGACAGATTGAATCAAAACATATTCTGAAAATTAGTAATATTGAAATTTAAACTGTCAAACACCAAGCGGTCACCGGTGACCGCAACCTATTATTCTATAATTGTGTCTACAAAACCGGTACTCGACGAGTTAAACTGTCAAACACCTAACGGTCACCGGTGACCACAACCTATTGTTCTATAATTGTGTCTATAATGACGGTACTCAAAAAGTTAATAGTATTTTAATGTTGTTTTCAGCACTAATGAATATGATCACAATACATTTAATTATATTTATATCTTACATAATTAATAATGATGATAACTGTCTCGTTGGAGGCAAATGCGACTGTCGGCCAAGGGGTCTCGGGTTCAATTCTGGCAAAGTATTACTGGGTTGAAATTTCACAGTAGTGGCACGGAGTCACCCCCTATTACATGGGACTCATAACATAAATAGTGAAAAGTGGGTGTTACATTGTACAGTGGCATTAAGTCCCGTAATGTGCACCTCCGCCTATGCCTTCGGGGATAAAAGGCGTGGTGTTATGTTATCATGTTAGATAATAAATATGAACTTTACAAATATTTAATATTTACAGTGACCCCTCAGTATTAAACGAGTGTGGTCTTGATGAGGAGACAAAGGAAGTCCTTCTAGCCAACATCAAGAGGAAGCTGACGTCACAAGCGGTGAAGATCCGTGCGGACATTGAGTGTGCATGCTATGGTTACGAAGGCATTGACGCAGTACGTGCTGCGCTGAAGGCTGGACTAGCGCTGTCCACCGTGGACCTGCCCATCAAGATTAATCTTATTGCCCCACCTTTGTATGGTGAGTTGTTAGCAATATTTTTACTATAAAACTTAGGGACCAAGTAATCAGATTTGAATAAGTCTGTTTTGTGTGGTAAATCGTGTGATGGGAGTGTTTTGTAAACTATTCGGGCTGTAGGACAGTCAATAATTTATTTTGATTACTCCAAAAGCACACTTTTGAATTTTAAACATAGTAAAAATAATTATGTACCTAGGTTTTATTGTGAGACCTTTGGAAACTACCTATTTATTAACTAGATTCAAAATGTAAATAAACTAAGCTGTTTCATTGTAGTCTCAAAGATCCTACCCGTCATACCTAATTTCTAACAATAATTTTAGGTCATTTTGTCATAATGAAATTACAATAAAATTATTATATTCCAGTAATGACCACATCAACGCCGGAGAAGGCGGACGGTCTCAAAGCGCTGCAGGACGCCATCGACAAAATTAAAGAAACTATTGACGCCGCTGGCGGTGTCTTCAATGTGCAAATGGCGGTAAGTAAACTTAAATCTAACTGATGACACATAGAGCATTCGTTATTTAAAGATGAACCTTATTTAAACATTATTAAATTCTATTATTGAGCAACCACAGAAGTAATGTATTATGAACCAAGGATGTTGAAAAAAAGGTGGACATAAC